TTTATTGGTCACATAAGGGGTATGTATGGAGTGTCAATAGATCCTGCAAAAATTGCAGTGGTCAAGGACTGGCTCCAGTCTGAAACCAAACAAGAAGTCCAATGATTTTTAAGTTTTGCTTTGTATTATTGATGGTTTGTAGCCATCTTCTCAAATGTAGTCAACAACTGTCTGCATTGACCAAGACTGATATGTGCTTGTGTGGATACAGGAATATAAATATATTTCCAATCCTTGAAGCATGGTTTAGTCGAAGCACCAGTGCTAACTTATCCTTGTCAACACTGTACAGATGCCAATGAAAGTGGAATTAGAACAGTTTTGTCACAGGTGCAGTATAGTACGGAGCATGTAATGGTCATGCTATATAACAAAATAGGAACTACTTGCAATTGCAGTATTTGTCAAACATTGATGTTATTACTTGTATGGTAAGGAGTTTAACACTCGATAGACCGTGTATTACTAAAATGGCTGATGAACATAAGCAATCTGGAAGTTACAATTGTGCATTGGATAATGACTCTTCAAGAGTACAACTTCTTTGTACGTACTGCTTGGCCATCTTGGGTTAACAGCATGGACATGCTGATGAAATATCTTGCCAACCTATGAGACTATTTTTATTTGTGAATGCCCAGATCCTGGACACCATGAAGCCCTCAATGCTATTACAGCGAAGTGACATCGAACCCTATGCACAATGAAAATTCTGCATTTGGATTGGTGTTGGCCAAATGATAGATATCATACTTTTGAGCACCTATATAGATTTACATGAAGCAAGGAGCTAATTTCAGTAGTCAGTTGTTTGTAGAGTTGTGATGAATATTAAGAATGGTGAAAACGAATACTTAAACACATCATTCTCAGTCTAATGGTTTGGCTGAATGGGCAGTGAAGACTGCCAATTGTATGCTTACTAAGTTTGTAAAATCTGACCAGACTGATTAGGTTGAACACATACCATAAGTCATGATGGTTTACTGTTCAACTAAACAACAGTTAACTGGATATTCTTCAGAAATCTCATGATGTTTGGGCGATAAGTACAGCTCCCAGTGGATATGGTGTGGGGCTATTCACGTAGTACAGATGTGCCACAGTGTTTATAGGAATATATGAAATGGCTGCATTTTGCAATAGCTTATTTGTATGATTTTGCACATTAATAAGTCGATAAAGTAACTACGGACTGTTTCCTGTCAACAGCTCAGTGAAGTGAATTATAAGTTACTGTGGTCACATGAAGCATGTACTTGTGCTAAAACGTTGACAATATTAAACTGTACATCACTGATGAACTTCTCGAAAGTTGACTATTCCAGAAACCAGAGGAGAAACAGTGGGTTGTCTCTGATGATGATGAGGAAAAAACGGTTTGTATATATCTGGCTGTTTGTCAGGAGTCGGATGAAGAAACACCAGTGGAGAAGCAGTCTTTCTGATAATCCAAAATACTGTTGCTGATCATCTAATCGTTATGGCTGGAATTAACTCTTTGACTAACAGTGAAGAAAGTCAATTAATTGAACAAATTGATGATTGAAAGGAAGTGACAGTACTTTCTACCCGAGATATCAAGTGGTGGTTTGTGATATATTGAGGACGTCAAGAGATATCATTAGATTAATGTACAGTTGGGACAGTTGGTTGGTTCAAAAATAAAAAGCTGAAAAGATATTTTGACTCCCTTTTTTTTTCTGATCTATTGAGCAATATTTTGTACCGAGACATTGGTATGATCTCTTGTGCTAGTTGCCAGTCTACTTAACTGAGAGCCCCCAGTGGCACAGCGGTATGTCTGCGGACTTACAACGCTAGAATCCGGGTTTCGATACCCGTGGTGGGCAGAGCACAAATAGCCCTTTGTGTAGCTTTGTGCTTAACTACAAACAAACAAACCTAACTGAGTTGTATTAGCATTTCTGTGAAGTAAATATGTGAGACTCGGCAGATACACAGCTAGAACGGCTGAATTTATTATATAAAATCCTTCTTAGAAAACTGATGCCTGGTCTAGATTGTCAGTGATGATTGGGAACTTTAAAACTACAGTCCTTGCTTTACAAGCACTCACGTTAAGTTTTATGGCGAATGTAGTTGAAAGTTTACTAGTAGAAACCTCCTGAACAAAATTACATCATAAGTCGAAGTGAATTTAGGTTGTGTTGCCATGTGAAATTGCAATTTATGGTTTATACCATTCTTCCTGAAGCGTAATTAGGAAGTTGTACTTTAACACTGCATGAGGAATTAACATGGACTGTATAAATCAGACGAAATGCGTTTCATTTTGCTGGATTTTCTTATTTATCTCAAGTAGTGATTTTTACGACCTCTAGATGGCAGTATTAACAGAACAATAAGGCGATTTGGATTGAATACTGCGATCCCTTGTATACCTACTACGGTAGACTGTGTGTATATGCATATATTTTATAGTTCACGAAGCGTGATCTGGATGAATGACAATAGCAGGTATAGCTGTTGGGGGAGGGGCGCAAACCGACAGAGAAATAAACGAGGCATACTAGATTAGTATTCTAAACATTGTCACTCCATATGGTATGAACCTCGATTCAAGTATTAACATATTCTTCCTGGAAAATTTTAGAAATTTCTGTTTTGAAGCAAAGCGATGTATTGTTACATTTATAATGTTTCAACTCTTATTAATTACTTTTTCTTATATCTGTTAATATTACTTTATATATAATTTCATTTCTTAAACGTTTATTAATATTTCATAATAAAGGAAAAATGAATCGTTCACTCTTTCAAGTTTCAGTTCTTGTACAGTTAAGTGCTTTTGTTGATAAATCTTCAAATTGTTCTGGATAGACTTCTTGCACAAGCACACGTATATACAAGTTGCTATTATTTAAAACTACTCTTTCTCCTTGTCTCCCATCACACACGCGATATGCTATTTCACAATTAAAGTCATATACTTAGAAACGCGTGACGTCATATTTCCGGTACAACGCCACATAAGCCTGGTTAAATCGCGATTTACCAATGATAAAAGAAAGCTTACTTTCCAACTCGGGTTGTTTTACTTTCTGATAATATAGGTGAAAAATGGTCTTGACCAAAATGTTTATTGCTGATCAACCCTAATTCTCACATATGTATTTATATTTAATGTGCTTTTATAAAGTATTTTTTTCTTTCTCTAACACTTTATGATTATACAACTTATTGATTTTATTTGGATGGTTCACGTCAGAAATAAGGACAAGTTTCAACGTTTTGTAACCTGTAACGTTATTATTAGTATAATATGCATTTAAAATTTTTCTTTTAAATGAAAAATAGATTACCTGTGATTTGTGTGCCATGAGTGTCAGAAAACTGTATATATAATATTCTATTCCTACATAAAACCTGCGATATTACTATTGGTGTGTGTGTATGTATATATATATATGTATACATCCCATTATAATTGTTGGACATTCGATTCACAATAAATAATTGTGATGATAATGAAATTTATTTATTGTTACAATACTATCTTTTTATCCCTCTGTTACGCCTCCGTTCGTTAGTTAATTTTCCGTATAATTTCTTTCCGAAGAAACTTTACCGATACAAGTCCTTTCTTAAATAAAACTGGTTTATTCTTTCTAAATACAACTTTGCAATACACTTTAATTTCCACCGTCACGCTATAATTCACAACGAACGTTTCACGTGCTCAACAATACGTTTCTCTCTGTCCGCAGTTCAATTACCCATTACATTACATTGTTGCCGTCTTATATAAAAGAATACATAACATTTAGTAACCTCCCGAGGATTCACGAAGCTTCGAGAATATGACGTGTTACTAGCGTCACGTGACCTCCGCTGTCGTAACACCTCATTACCTCAAGACTTGCAAAAATAAGCGATTCTAAAATGTCATCACATTTGTATATTAAATTTATATTGCACAATTTATATTTGCCTGAAGATTCAAGGCCGAATCGTTGCTAATCTTTATAAGAACAGCTGAGTGTTGTGTATATGTTTGTGTATTTACTGTAAATATTAAACATACCTTTCCAAGAATAATTTGCATTGTTTGTCTAGTATACCGATTTAAGTTAAACAGAATTTTGTAAAGTTGCCAAATCTTTATAAATATAATAGTACTGTTTGTTGTATTTCCATGTAACTACTTCGCATACAAATTTTCAGTTTTGCGGGTTTTATGGGCATTTTTTACCACTACTTCGCCCCCTGTTGATGGATCTTCACCAAATTTCGTATGGAAGTTCACTGGGTCCATGAGGAGATAAATATAAACTTTCAGTTTTTACGGGCGTTCTTTACCACTACCTCACCTCCTGTGGATGCATCTTCACTAAATCTGGCATGGGGGTTCATTGGATCCATGCAAGTTTGCGGTTTCACATTCTGTGTTTTGAAGTTTTTATGGGCGTTTTTTACAATTATATATAATGGAAGCAACTTTTGATGTCCTAAGATAACATTTCATTAATCATGAACTTGCATAACTTTCTTCCAGGGGACGGGAACTCAGCTAGGCTCGAAATATTATTGAGATTATGGCTAAAAATATCATAGTGAGGTTATAAATGTACAGAATTAATAAATCCATTATAAAATTCAAGTTCCTAGTTTTATTATTGGTGATCAATAGTTTCAACTCAATTAGTTTTTAAAACTAAACAAAAGGAGCTAATTTCTATTAAATTTAACAAATATTTGGTTAGTTAATATATATATCTCACAACAAATAACTTTCGTTTCAATTAGAATGTTAACACCTTATGTTTATACGCTATTACTGATAAATAACATGTCAATATAAAACTTATCAGATGGAAACTATACATTTACCGCATATTTTGTAAGCAAGTAAATGTTTTTTAGGTAGCGAGACATCTGTAAAACTCTGACTGACATTGTGTTAGCGCAATAATGAAGTTGAAAACTTCCCTAAAACTAAAATGTAAAAACAGTAACCTTACACAGTTCCATAAACAAAAAAGGATCCAAATATTTATTTCTAGTCAACCAATGCCTAACCAAATGATACACAGCCAATGTTGCAATTGTTTTTATGAATACTTTTCCTTACCGTTTGACAAATATGTACACACAAACTATTAGTTTAACCTACAATTTATTCACATCCTAAGACATATGAAAATAATGAATAAATTTACCTAAAATCACACCATGATTAATTGTATACACTACTTTAAACAAGTTTCTGTAAACAAATTTAACAAAAGACATTTCTGTTCGAAGGTGGCTTTTTACGATTATTTAAGTTAATTTATTACAAGGGTGTCTACAGAAAAATAATAATAGTAACCGTTTTCCTAACGTAAACATTGTTGATATTCCACTAGGTGAAGCTTCAACAACTTTCCTGTTATTTATACTTAACTAAGAAGTTGTTCGATAGTGGATTGTCAGAATATTCTTTAAAGTTTGAAGAGCTACAACGACAGAAATTACACAATTAATTTAATTAAAGACTGTGCCATGGACACTAGAATACATTTATAATAGCTCTGTTTGCAAAAACACTACCTTCATCCATTACAAAAAGTAATCATAACTCTTAATAATTCATTTTTTCAGGTTCATCCAAAAGATTTTCCAAAGTAACTATCATAGTAAAGTCTACTCAGTGTAGGGTTAACTGACAAAACTTTTACATCGATGAAAGTTGTTTTTGTTGCATTATTTTAAACATAGAACTGTATTCAACTCTGCCATGTTGCTGATACATTAGAGTGAGAACAAGCAGGCAACACAAATAAAACTTGTTAAAAAGTAGTAGTACTTTTGTTGTTAGAATTCTGTGTATTTAATTTGTTGTAATAGTTTGTGTAGTTTTGTAAGCCTTCAGACGACCCATTGGTGGGCGTAAAGATATCTAACATATATTTAAACTCAAGTTTTACAAGAAAACTGTAATGTAATAATTTGTACTAGTTTCACATAAGACAATGTTGCAAAAAAAGAAAGAACAGTAGGCTTGAAAAACAACAACAAAAATCACCAATTAGTTGACATCACTTTTTAACCTGTTGAACTTACAATCATATTCAAGGTGGTGTCTTAAAGTTGAGAACTAAAATACAGGATGTCTAGACCCATAGGGAAAAATACACAATGTATTCTTAATTGATTTATTATTCATATTGCATGACATTAACAGACATATGTATATCAATTCATGGTATATTGTGCCATCAGGGTATTTTCTTTCCTGAAATATGTACAACTGACATTAGACATTTGTTGAACTTTAAGAATATAACATCTAGCTATTTTCCTTATGGGTCCAGACCTCTGAGACACCCTGTACATAATCGTAAAGAGCCAAATCACTAATGGAATGTACTTCACCTTAATTCAATGTCTAAAATTACAAAATTGTTTCTGTATGGGGAGGGGATTCTTTTCTGAGACAAAAAATATCTTGGCAAATAATAAAATGTTAAAGTATACTAAAAACTAAGTCCAGTGTTTTCCAGAAATAAAAACAAAATGATTTTGGATTTCCAAAACTTCAAGTTTCTGAAATTCCAGCTATAGACCTACACTATACTACAATAATAGTTGTTTTAACATATACACCAATATGTGAAACATTTATTATTAAATGTTTCATCACTGTTATCTGTATTTTTCATTTTAATTCAGCCATACAAGCACACCAACTGTTGTTAGCTGTTATTTCTTTACACTCTGTTTTTCAGTCTTCCAGAACTTTTAAATGATGAAGTTCTTTAATGTTGTTGACTATGCTCATAGGCTAAGAGAACATATTCAATTTCCTTTAACAAGATCTTCAGGCTTAACCACGTTTGTCTCTTTGGTGAAATCCAAAAAATGAACATATTTTAATGGATGCCCAAACTGCACTCATACAAGAACACAAGTACATACAGAAAAACCTTACTACAACCTGAAACACACCTACAGCTTCAATTGCATAGAAATTTATACTTTTTTGATATTGGTGTTTGGCTTTATTTTTTAAAATTGAAGTTAAAAAAGATGTAATATGTAATTAGACAAATGCTGATTAAAACTGAATACGGGTAAGTCATTTTTGGAGACAGCCATGGTAATTTTGAAGCTTTCTGGTAAACATCTGCCTGCTAAGGACTTTCACAATTCTAACTTTTGTACATTATCTCAAAAGTCTAATTTTTCATGAATATTCTTATTGATGTGTAGTTTCTTTACTTTGCTATATGTTTTTAAAAACTCTAATGCCAAATTCTCCATTGATATAGTTAAAAGATGAAAGTTCCAAAACGTTAAACATTTAACAGTAAAGAAAAGAACAAAAAGTGAAATCCTACACTTCCACATTTCTTATGCAGAACAGAAAAAAAATATAGTAAAAACTAGTTTTTGATAAATTTCTTGCTGTATTATTACAAATTTAAAGAATTGTTCATGAAAACATTTTCCCTATCAAATAATTACCTTGAATATAAAATTACAACAGACACAATAACATGTATCTTTCAAAATTATGCAATTGTTAAAACACTTACTTATTATATTTTTTCTAGTTAAAAATATTTTCTTTTTTTTTTCTTCTTTGAACCCATTGGCTTTGTTAATTGATAGTGTGATATATACAAGATGAGAGAGATACACAACAATGTAAGACAAAAACATATATAAATGGTGTATTTGATATGTTGCAACTAGGAATATTATCTTCCACAATTAATGGATGCAAAAAAGTGAAGATTTTAGGCAATAAACATCTATATATATATATGTCATCTACATACTTTGAAAGATTTTTCAATACAAATAATATAATAAGATTCTTATGTCAGCAGAATACACTATCTTCATAAATCTTTGACCTGAAAAAATACGGTTGTCAAAGCACAAATGTCTAAAACATATAATAGAACAGTAACTTTTCAAAGTTTCCCTCATGTTTAACATCTGAAATACATCATTATTATAGACATAATTACTTCTAAAACAACACATTTTTATATGACATACAGTATTTTGCAGGATTCAAACACATCAGAAGATCAACATTTTTGCTGTAAATAAGTTGATGAATTCTTCCCTGCCTCACTTTTATTTTAATGAATATGTTTTAATTCTCTACAATACAGTAAGTCCTCAAATGCACAGAAAATGTTTTTTTTTTAATTTCCACAATAATTAATGGTGCTCTAACTACATGTCAATATTAAAAAATATTGACATGAAACTGAAATATCACATTTTTCTTTCTGTTGTACATTCTTTTTCTTGCATACTTTCATCACTGTATCTCAATATTTAAGAATAGGGAAACAATTACAGAATATATCAACACTACAGATGAAGGCCCATGTCATGTATACTCATAACTTTGGCACATTTCACAAGTCCAAACAAGCACATTAATTCTAAGCTTATGATTCTACAATTTCTTAACTGTGGGAAATCTGAAAAAACTTTTGGCCTTAAGTACAATTTTATTTCAAATGATGGAGAAAAAAAAAAGGCAAAAGAAAGAAAATAAACTTGATAAATGATACAAATCTCCATGCTATGAGTAAAAATGCCCAGAACAGTAAGTTATAGGTAATTGTATATAATAAACATAATGGTAAAAACAAAACACAAATTAAAATTTTCATGGCACTCAGCTAAACAACTGATTTGTTTTCTTCTACACTAATTTTTACTGTCTTCACAGCTACAGAAGACAGATCCTAGCACAAGAATAAGTCAATCACACCAGGATATTAATAATACACAAGATCAACTGTAAGAGATTTGCAGCACAAAAAGTCAATACAGACTTTTAGACAAATCTAATACAACTGATTTTTGTGAACAAATGTTAACTTGCTAACAATAAACAGCTTTTTCATACCAAAAATTAAAATGCTGAATTTAAATAGCAGCTAACTTATACATTTGTATTGAAAGCTATAAGACACGGAAAAAAGTGTTGGAGTTTAAAAAAATGGACAGTTTTTAAATGACATTTCATAGTTATGATACATATGTGAAAAAATGTTCTTATACATTACTTAAATATAAAACACAATGTTTCTTCAAAATTGATTATAAAATCAATAAGCAAGAGCACTATATTGGAGACTTATACAAATTTAACTATGTTACAGAAGAGGAAGAAAAGAAAATAGACTGAACACACACAATATCAAAAGCTTCAGTAATGAAACATAAATTCCAAGTTGTTTGGTACTGTAGCTTACACAAACTTGTAAGCAACAACTAGCATTTCCCAAAAAATGCTCACATAGGACACATTTGTCTCAGAAAATATACTTTGTTAATCAGTAGGTTATAACAAGTACAATAAGAAACATTTGTTTAATATAGATTAGTTTCTCCAGTTCAGTTGCGATAATAAGTATTGTAAATCAAACATAGCTTTTAATTTTGATTAAATCCCCTAAATTTGGAACAAATATCAAGAATTTTTCTTTGAGCTAATTTTCAAAGAAAATGAATTCAAAAAGAGAGATTCAAATGTTTTGTAATTAAAATTTACATCTTTTACTGCAGGCTCATTTAAGCATTGCAAACATATAGTTTTGTTTTATGTACTAGTACATTATGTAAACCAACTGCCAACTAATCTTTTCACTCATTTAAAACAAAAGAAGAATGATAAGTTAGGTCAAGTAATTTTACAACAGTTAGTTCTGCATCTTTGTAAGTTACCTTAAAATATTGTATTCAAGGGCAGAAAATGAGAGAAGACGAAATATTAATTATGTATAGGTACATGAAATCACACTATTAAAAAGCACTATATAATAAATACAAGCAATTGGTCAGAATTTGCTACTTGTGCAACACACACACACAAAACCCTTAAATCAAAAGAAGTTAGGTATCAGGTTTCTAAGTTAGGCCTATACTTTTGAAATTAGATACTACATACATATACAAGCATTATTAATAATGTAAAACATTATTTGTGTTTAAAGAAGTACTGGCCAATACAGTTTGCTTAAATGCAAAGTGATTACAAGTATGAATATTGGCTACTGAAAATTCTGAGTAGAAAGTGTAGTTTTGTGCTCAATATTTTTCCAATAACATAGACTCATGGCTGTAGTGGTAGCATTTGTCCCATAGTGGCCCCATGTAAAGTTTAAACCCGGGGCCCCTACCCCCCTTTTCTTGCCAGAAATATCCCACTATGAGACTGAGTTTCAAACAGTATGACAACTATCCTATGTATTGATAACTGAATGTACTCAGCACATAGCATTTTACTACACTAGTTTGGAAAATACAGACACAGTTAGAATTTACACTAGTTGTCGTAATAAAAATCAGTGTAAGAAGGAAAAGCACATGAGAAACAAGACATGGACAACCATATTCTTAAGGGATAATATTGTAATAGTAATTATAAATCTAGGCTTAGGGACAGATAGAAAGATTCTAAAAATAATGGTAAGTGCATTGCTTACAGGAGAGACTCTCAGATAATTTAGCTTGTAGTACTCGAAGGTTTAATTCTAAATTGTTGCCAGGATGATTCAAGCATGTAACATAACTGAGCCACTACAGCAGTGACCCCTCACTGACCCCCAGAGCTCCATACAATTTCATATGCCTAAATCTGACAGTGCACAGATGAATAGTTGGAACAGGACTAAAATTTCTGAGTAATCAAATGAAAAGGTGCTAACTTCATAGGTTTCAACTATTACAGAACTTCAATAAACTTGCATAACATCTCAAATGGCATATTCAAGAAATAACATCTGATATGTTACAAAAAAAAATTAAAAAGGAACAATCCTATAAAGCATTTCAGAGATAAAAATAATTTGTTGTGAAATACAAAGATTCCAGTGCTCCCTGGAAGTAAGTTAATGAAACTTCTCTCTCTCCACCAATAGTAGGATGTGAATATTTTTTCTACTGCAGCTTATATGATGTAAATAATCAGATTTCATATTATACCTTCATAAAAAAAATGTAAGGTTAACAAATAACATAGAATATTGTGCTACAATTTTCTGATATTGGCCTTCTCTTATAATAGTTTTGTAATTAAAGCATTTAAGAAATTGTTTAGGATCATGGATAAGTCAACAGTTTTATGAAATTCTTATTTCTTTATACATTTTGCAGCAAATGTCATCCTAATAAAAGAGATTCTGTAAGATAACCTAAGTTACAAAAAAATTTTATATCATTTTCTTATGTTATAAGCCTTGTAGGAAAAACATATAACTTGAAGTCAACAAACTTTGATATGTACGAGTATAATCTATACCTAAAATAATAAGATATCTTGCAAGTGATCATGAAAATAAGTTTTTAAATCACCAAATACATTGCAACTATGCATATTACTTTTAGGTTTCTTTTAAATCTAACAGAATCTAAAAATGCCACAAGTTCCTAAGTTTAAAGCTCTACTAATCAGTATTATGGCTTTAAAGATAATATCAAACTTTTAAGTAATAAGATACATGAAATTAAAAATGTGTGTCAGTAGCGAAAAGTAATACTGAAAATCTTATAACATTTTATATGAATCACTAAGCATTCAATTTTAAATTTCTAAACTTTATCCACCTATCAAAGACGAACAAACAAGCTTTTCTAAGGGATTTCTCTGTGCATATTGTGTATTTGGAATTGAAATAACAAATAAACAAAAAGAGGAAAATATTACAGTTTTACATATACATTCTACATGTTATCACCTCAAATAAACTATTCATGAAATATGCTTTCTCTGAAAGCACAGGTATGTAAAAAAGACATTTTATTGTACGATCGTTCAAAGAACATTGAAGTATCAAAACAGTACTTCAATATGATTTTACTTTCAAATGGTTTTATTCAAAATTACTTTGGATAAATGCAAAAATAATTTAGTTTTACAGAAAAAATGTACTGTATCTAATGGTTTCCCACTACACGCACCACTAAAGAAGGATCCTGGATAAGTATGTGTACCATTAAAAAAAGGGCTTCTGGTTTTGAAACTTTGCATCTTTTAATACACACGTAAATTATCATCTTCATGTTGTAAAGTTTCTTAATAAATCATTTTGTCTGGACATAAGAGTTATAATTTACTGTTACTATAACAGGACTCTTATACATTAAGATATACTACAGTAAAAAATATATGTTAAAAAATGGTGCTCCTTCGATAGTGGTATTTTAAAGTCAACAGCTCAATCTAAACATCACAAGTACTACTATATCACCTGACATAATGTACAGATATCTAAGTTAAATAATAATAAAAAAAAAAGTACAGGGTGATGCAACATACTGTCATGATTGTTTTTCAGCCTGCTCTTACAGCTGTTCAAAACATGCATAACTAATAGCATGACACAATGTTATAACATGATCACTTTTACACATTCTTCTGAGCTTAGTGATATACAAACCAATTATTGTAACAAAAGAAAGAGAGATAGTGAACCACAAACATGACTTAGAGAAATCATAGAAAAAGCAGGACTTTGAAATATAGCTTTTGCATCACCCTGTATTAAATGGAAAGAAAATACTATCCATATATTTTTTATTCCAGAGTTAATTCACCCAAGTGCAAACACTCCAGGTGTTTAAAGATAATATAATGGGTCACCATAAACACACAAACTTTATAAGGCATAGATACAAATACACCATATAAGGACTAAAATGTGTTCTAAGTTTTCAATAAATTCATAAAAGTAGTCTGTTCATTCAGGAGACCCTAAGGCAAACTAAGAGCAAGTTTTTACATAATGTACTATCTTGAAAACCTAGGGTACAGAACATTTTTAATTTATTCAATTTGTGTAGTTAAACATTTCAATCTGAATCAAAAATGTAACTGTTTTTTTTTTCTCAAACTGGCTTACTGAGTCTAATTTTTATATTTAATTAAATATTTTTCCTGTTGACACAAAATTGGTCACTGCAAACAGTTAGTATACACATAATCTAAAATAATCATGACACAAATAAAGAAATCATTAAAAATAATGTGATTAATTTACCTTGTCTTTAAAGAAAGCTTTGTCTATAGTTCTTAATACAATTAGATGTAGTGTCTCATAGTTTCAAAGATACATTGGTCAATTTCAAAACAACAACACTTTAAACCATTTTTACTATTTTCAATGATTAAGGCAATACAAGCATGGTTTTGTACTTTTTTTTATTTTTAAGCAAGCCATTCCTGGTGGAGTGTGCTATTGTTATAATACCACGGCTCAATAAATTAAAAGTACTGTAACCTTAGATAATGGAACAAATGAAGAATAAAAAAAAATTCTATATGAGGTAAGTATATAAAATACAACTCATCATTTACACGGAAAAGTCTAGAAGGCAAAGATGAATACTTTATCTACGCATGTTATGTGTATGTATGTGTAAATATATATTTATATAGTATACATGTTGACCAGAAACTTTAAAAAGACTTAATTGAGTCAGCTCAATATACCAACCAACATTGAAAAGTCAGAATTTAGGTGTAGTGGAAGACGCTCATTTTACCATGATTGAAAATGTATATAATTATTTTCAAACTTTTTTGCTTTCTATAAACATGAAATATCTCGATAGCACTTAGTATGGAGGCTATATACAGCGAATAAAAATATCTCCTTTACTGGATTTCATCTATTAAACTGAAGATAATTGCATATCAATATTTTATTGTAAAATGAGCTTTGTGCACTCAACACCACTCTTTATAACGATTTTCACAAACTTTTTTTTGTTTTGCATATTATAAAAATCACAAATAATTTCAGAATCTTTTAAATGTTGAACAACCAGTTTCCTAGTTTTTGTTGACAAGTTATTTCATATATTATCTTAACTACAGAAAAAGTCCCTTCCATGTGTTTGAGCACTCATGCAAATGCAAAAACAAAACTGGACCGGTGGCAGTTAAAGACATGTTAGTTGATAACAGAAGATGGCTGGGATGTGAAGATGTGCTTGATACAGTACTTTCACCTCAAAAAAGAAAAAGTGATAGATCTTATGTATGTCATATATATATTGCACTCTTCTTAATCTGAAGTCTTGTCTTGAAGTACATATTTATAGCACTGTTTAAAACCTCGCACTGTACTACCTTTCCCTGCTGTCAAGGTCACGATTATCCTGGGCATTGATCGCAGTTCGAGAACGATTACGATTTAGCTGGGCTCTTCTTTCAGCTGAAACATAAACAAGAGTATTTACTATAATTACAGAAATCGTTTCACTTTCTTGTTTGCACAGTGCTATGAAATTGTGATTATATATCTTAAACTAACGGATAAAATAGTTCGATTTATAGAAATTCTTCAGTAATACAATTTTACTATAATGTGCTTAAAATACTTTTAGTCTTTTTTTATCGTGTTCCATTTCTGGGAACTCATATTATTTAGCTTTTTTAAAGACCTATAATCCACTGTAACATCCAAAAAAAAAACCAACTTAAATATCTATCACAAAACATATCACCCTTTTTGTAACAAAACAAATCTCCATTACAAATAATTTTTTTATTACCAGACTCAACTCAACAAAATGATGAATCCAAGCTTTACTTTCATGGCTGAGATTTAGTAATTTGCTGTCAATTTTATAAGTTTGACCTATAATTTAATTTGATTTGAAATATATTTCAATTCAAAAATACTAACATCTATTTGATAATAAAACACTAGTATGAGCTAAAATATTGTTTTTATATACAGTTTGACATCTTACTCTTAAAAATTCACTTCTTATAACCAAAATATGTCATAAGTAAGTAGGATCTTTGTACACAAAAACCTAAATTTCCATCCACATATAAGTTGACTGAATACAAAACAATTTATCCGTAAAAGCTTTACATGTTCTATAAATTTGAAATTCTTCAGTTTTCTGACTCTTCGCAAATGTATTAACAACAGAGAATATTAAACAAAATCAATAAAATAGTTCATGTTTGATCCGTTGGTTTGTTTTCTAACATAAATGTACAATTCTAAAACAGAATATGTGTTAACATTTAACAGAGCAGTGAAATATTTATACAGGAAATCATATCTTCTATGTAAAATATTATATACATTGATTAAAAAGTGGAATTTCTTTACTTATTAGACTCCTCTTCCTTAAGTGCAACATTTGCACAAGGAAAACTTCATAATGGCTCAGTTTTTCTAGTATACTTGATGCTTGTTTCTCTTTCTTCACATACTTATTTATTTTCAGCACCAATACTTTTTAACCTTCATCCTTATATGATGCTCAGTACAAACACATACACACACACACATATACATAACTATCATCATGGCTGCTTGTGATCTAGCAAAATAGGCTTTTGTTTGCTTAATGATTTACACACTGAGCTTCTTCACACCCATGTCTGCAGTAGTGCAGTAAAACTGGTTTGTTAAGTCTTGCAGATGTGTGAATGGTGATATTAACATAAAAGTTTATCTAAAAAAAAAAGGCAAACAAATATGCATATCTGTTAATTTTCAGATGCTGTTAATAAGATCTAGCTGCTATTCCAAAGTTAAATAAGATGCATTTTGAGATATTCATGGGCAGTTTGTAATCTTAATATTATAATAACAGACAGAGATGGTATGTTTGTTTTCATAATTAATAGTTGTACCACTATGATACATAGATATTTTTGTTACTAAGTAATAATTAGACTTAGATGATCACATAGGCTACTAATCATAGAAACAACTAACACTTAGCATCCCTGCCAAAATAGGCCTCATAGAACTAGTACGTGAAAGAATAAGTGAAGATATTTGTGTAAATACAATAACGAGTAAACATTCATTCACTGATGAGAACAAAGTCTATTAATGACAATCCATTCTAAGAGATTTTAGAGGGTAAAAATGGGTTCTACATTTTATGTGTACATATTCCCAAAATCCAGACCATAAAAAAAGCTTCATGCATTTATAGTCATCAGTGTTTAATAAGATGAGAAATCTCAACTTTAAGCAATTCTTTATTGTTATTTATATACGCCTCAAAAAAAATAAAAAATAAAATAAAGATAGTTTATTATGCTAGAAACATAAGTGTACACGACACATCTTGGCTTGTCAGTTATATATTCTTATTAAACAATTTAGAACTATCAATTTTTACATGCCAAATATTAAATTTGAGTTTGAGGACTGGGCTAAGTAGTAAATTTGTATTAATCAATCTTATTCACAAATTATTGTTTAAGAAGATGGTCTCATAACATTATTTCAATTAATATTATTAAAAAAATTAATAAAAATGCTGAAAAACCAAAATTTTCAGTCTTAAGCAATTTATTCTCAGAATATAAGTTCAAAGCTAATATATGTTAGTAGTTACTACATCTTTCTTTTTACAAAATGAAAATACATCACTTCCTTACAAATAATAGCATTCATTAATATATATTTTGATAAATATTTATTTAAACGATTTTTTATATGAATGGTTTCTAATAATGTGCATTGTTTCACATACAAACATTTTCTAATCTTAATACCTGTTGTAATGCATAATTAGATTATAATAGCATGTGTAAACTTTTTCTTTGAAAATAACACATTTTATATGAAATAAAAATGAATCGCATTATACAAGAAACTATTATATAGTTATTAATTACATGGAATCAAAATATTCAATTTCAAAGTTATGCCAATGTTACAGTTTCAGGTTTTCTTCCCAAAAACTTCTCAAATTCAGTCAAAACATTTTTTATCATCTCATCTATTCTTTAATTTGCAATAAATTTGTGAAAAAGATACTTTAATAAAAAAACATCCTTGTTAAAACCTACAAATGCTTTTTTTTAAAGATTCCTTTTCTAATTCTAGGCTCAAGAAAACATGAACATGAAATAAACTTAGCACTTTTAAAAACATTAAGCCAAGCAAATTTTTAATTTAAGAAGTTAATATCTTGTTAAACTTACCTCCTGCAGCTCGTGGTACTCTTTTCCTGGGCTTGTGAGAGAAAGCTGATCCTGTCTTTAGTGCTTCGAGCAAATTGTCCATCACACCTTCTTGGTCTTCTCCTACATAACACAAAGTCAAACTGGTCTACTGATCCATGTAGTTTTACACATTTTATTGAAATTATAGTAATTTCAACAACATATATATGTTGATTACTTTCACTAGACAAGTAACATAAGAAATAACAATATTTAAGATATACAGATTTGTATTTTGTGTGATGTTACATCACAATAATAACAATTCTTATCTCTTTCTTTACTGGCCCCATACATGTTCCCAATAAGAAGAATATCAAAGTATTTTAGCCTCACACTTTGTGTTTTGCTTGCTGCTACTTTTGGGAATTTCACTCGGTGCCAGAAGTCATCGGGTAGATTGGGTTTAGAACACATACTTCAGTTGAAACACTGTTTCTACAAGTCACTTAAGAGATATCAATTCTTATGGTATATAATACCTATGTAAAAAAAAAGTGATCTACAGATAAGATTCGGTGATTAGTGAAAGACTGTCAGCAGTGGCAGATCCAAGATTTTGAAAACGGGGAGGCGCAATGATTCTGAACATAAACGAGGAATTTTCAGGACTTCCCAGGTATGAGTTAAATGGGATATTTAGATTTTTTATAATGTTTGCTAGATGTTGTTATTATTGCTTTTTTATTTATTCTGAATTTAATATGAAATTGTACCACATTCTTCTCTCCTCAAAGATCCAATGTTTGCAATTATTTTGATTTTATTTTCAAAATGGGGGTGGGGCATCCAGCACACCAGATCTGTATCTGCCCTTCGCATGGAACACAAAGTGTGCAGGTGAAATGCTATTACAGTCTTCTTATTGCAAATGTGTACAGGGCCAGTAAAGATAGATATAAGAATTGTTATTATCAGTCTTATTGTGATCACATAAAGTACCAATCTATAGTATTGCTTCAAAATAGATGCTATGTACTATAAGAACTGATAACAGTTAAGACGCTTTCCCTTAGCTTGTGATAAATTAAAAGCTTAGGGAAACATTTTACTTAGCTGCTAAATATCATAAAACATAAGCATTAACTCACAGAATATAAAAAACCAGTATTATTTACTAAAAACCACAAACTTAAATCCCTTTTCTTACATTATATACCACATGAAGCCAATTCTTTTCGTTAACAATTCACTTCCTATTAGAAAAAGAGAAAGTAATGTACCTGAACTAATGTCAATCAATTGGCGTTTCATTTCCTTTCGTTCTTGTTTTTCTTTATCAGATTTCTCTTTAGCTTCCTTGGCCCTCCTGATTTTTTCTTCCACTTCTCTGACCCTGACATTTTCTTTGTGTGCTTCCTTTGGAATTGCATATAAAATTATTATTATAACTTCTTAATATTCTTATTTCAGTTTTAATTTTTTTGCACCAATGACTTTAAGAAGGTTAAAACTGACTATAATGTTATAATCCCTCAGTGTATGCACCACTATACGTAGCTCATCATTATGTTCTTCAAAATGATGGATAGTATGCCTAAATTAATATTCTTAGATTCAAAGCAAGTAAATTTGCATCGAAACATAAAGGAAGTAGAATTATGTGTCTGTAAGTTCAGAAATTTTATAATGTTACAGTAGGTTTGATAAGCATCAGGTACATAGAAATTGCTAACAATGTTATGAAACTGTTTAAAAGTAATCGGGAAAATCAATGCTAAGTTTAGTTTCTTTTTTCATAAGTAACAGATTACTAAACAATCTGATTAATATTGGATCTACCAAGTTTGTGCTATCACTTAAGACAACTATAGAAAGCATTTATAATTTACATAAAAAAAGTATTTATTGCACAGCATTTTCACATATTTATAACTTCCCATTTCTTCAGGTTTCTAACACACAAACTTATTTCAATAATTATTATTTGTAAACAACCATCTTGTTGTGAAGTACAATTTGTTTAAGATAAGAATTTATACCAATGGTACAAAACTAGAAATGTACAGCAAAAATTGCCAAAGGATTTCAAAACTGTTAATGACACTTGGCTGTACTTCTCTTTAAAAAACAATATCAAGAGTGTATAGTTTTTTGGTAAAAATATAGATTCTACAAATGTTCCATAGGAAAAACCCACTTCAAGTGTTTAATTCATAAGAATTTCTGCACAGCTATAGCATACAATGTGACTAGTGACTACTATAATTAAGCCTAACTCATTTATTAGATGTTGAACACACTATTAATAAACAATTTGGTGTCAAGAAACTAAAATTTGGTCAATCTGCGTTTATACTTATTTTTTTAAAACCTAAAGCTTACAGGTAATTGCACTTTATCGTACTGTAACAGTTTATGAGCCCTCATAAAAATCACTACCTTGAACAAGTTAAGACACTCAATGTGTACAATTCTTTTTAAAGAAAAATCAAGTACTTATAAAAGTGCATATTTAAAGATATATTGAAAAATTCAGTTTTCTTTTCAAAGGCAGTTTAGAAACACAAATGCCAATTACTAATTTTAAATGCTGTATGAGATATCATGATATAGTAAAAACCTGAAATAATAATACATAAAATACCCATACAAATAAGATTATTTTCATAAAAAAATCAAATATACTATTGACATAAATTTTATGTTTATAATTCTTAAATAAAACTTTGTGGTGCTAAAATGTAGCCCAGAACAAACCAGATAATGTAAAAAATTAAAAGTTCCAAGTATAACTGAATAAAAATGCAATACACCAATATAAGAAAAGTACCGAATAATATAAAATATAAACTTTGAATATAAAACAAATAAGACAGCAATCTTACCTGAAAGCCTTCTTTAAATGCTTTGATGTCACCAAAGAATTCATCTAATGTGTATTTTTTTGGATCAAATGCAAAGTATTCTGCTATGTTTTCATACAATTTTCCCATTTTATTATACATACTGTCTAAGAGTTCATACTGTTTGGAAGATTCTGTTAAAAAACTCTGATAAAAAAAAATCAAGGTTAAAAACAAGGAACTCTTTTCAACAATGACTATGTTCACCACTAACAATTCTGTAATGATGGCAGACACAGTTCGAGTCCTATCACAGATAAAAATTTATGTCTAACCTAAGCAGTGGTTAAAGTGAGGTGATACGTGCTGGTATGCAAACCTATAAGAATGAAAAATGCTGGTGTGACACACAATCAAAATAAATAAATGAATAATTAAAAAAGGTTCATTACTTGTGAAACCTGTTTGGTTTAGCATGAATATACTTTTAGTTTTAATGTCTCTGCAGTTATAGTGAAGATTTTCACCTAAGTCACTGCTTTTACTATCTGGAAGCACTAACTAAGCCTTGTGAAATACAAATTATCAAGTTAAGCTCAATGTTTCAGGTTTGATTAATAATATTAGGGATTAATTACTATAGCCACAAGAACAGCATTTCTTCTGTTTTAACATAAGAATTATGCTGGGTAATGTACCACCACTAACATAGTACGTGTCAGATTTGAAAAACAGATATGTAATGTTTATACAATGAAAGGGTGAGGATAAGATAACAAAGTGTGTGTGTTTTTTATAGCAAAGCCACATCGGTTATCTGCTGTGTCCACCGAGGGGAATCAAATTCCTGATTTTAGCATTGTAAATCCAAAGCCTTACAATTGTTGCACCGGGAGACAACGTAAAAAAAAATGAGGTAATTATTACAGTCAGACACAAAAATTACAAAATAATCATACACACACACTTAAATTTTTTTTGTGAAAAAAAAAGACATAAAAAAGAAATATACAAATAAATAATGTATATGTTGTATATATACAATAAACAGCCTGCATACAAGCCATTTCATATGCTTTTATAAATACCAAAACATGACAGGTTAACCAAGAAGCAAAAATGGTGAACTTGGTACACTAAAATTACTCACAGTATATATAAAAAACTGCTCCAAAGTTCAACTTCATCTGAAATCAAATTATATTAGCTGAAGTCCATATATAACTTTGGAACCAACAAATTATGCATCATTTAAACTATGATAAAAATGCAATGCATATGTTAATTCTTAAAATACATTTGTATATAATATTTTACATATATAGAAATTATTACCATCAATAGTTTACATAGTTCCCAGTGATTTACTTACAATTTTCAGTGCATTATGTTTGTTTTTAAATTCATTAACAAATATCTCATGAAACAAGTGAAATTAATTACTAATAACAATATTGACAAGTATATATATAAAAGTATTTTTATCAAAAAGGTACTAATTTTGGTCAGACTTTTCATTGTCATGCTGACTTACATTTTGTGAAATGAGTTACAAATAACACGTAATTAAATTGGTGTTAAACTACATTATAATATGTTTGATGCAGAGACATGCTGCAAATTAAATTTTCAAAGGATACTTTCATAACTTCTTCAAATCTATCATTATCACTCTGAGGACGGAAAGTCTTTAGATCTGTTTCCAACTGCTGAATGGATTTTTTCATTTGGTTTAGATTTTTCTGAATTTGTTCTGGAGAAACTGTTTGATAAGTAAATGAAAACAAAAAATATTTCAATTTCAGAAATATTTGTATGTAAGGTAATACTATAATTACTTTTAAATGATAAGTAATATTATTTACTCACCTGTTATTAAATATTTTAATAACATATTAGTTTAGTACAGCTACTAACCTACTAAGTTAGAGAAAATTAGAAAAAAAAGCAAGGCAACAGTAAGTAAAGAAAATGAGAAGCTGAGGTCAACATTTTAGCTACATACTTTTGGTAACAGATTTGTTTATGTATGATGTGCAATTATAAAAGTACATACTACATTATTTTATCATTTACATGTCATATTTTTTCTTTCTTATGGGATATGACTGTCTACTTTTTGGATATTCAATAAAAATATTTCAGTTTCATGGGAAAACTTTCATTAGGTGTTACTGTATAGCAACGTTCTATCTGGTGGTCTTTATAATAAACATCTTTACTCAAGAAGTTTAATAAAACAATGCAATCATTTTCAGTCTTTAATGAATAATTTTTTGAATAAAGTTGATAACTTAATTTCTGTAGCTTGCTGGTCAATTATCTAGGTCTTAGTTGTCATTCAAAAACATTTAAACTTAATAAAATCTTTTATGATTATGGTTTCAGCTCATCACTTTTAGTGATATAAAACTGGTTTCAATGTCATAGAAATTTATTTACTTTGTTCCACATATTCTAGCTGGAATTAACATTTTAGTAATATACTGCTGTTTCATTATGTACAACGATTGACATAGTCACATTCTTCAAGTGTAGTTTTCAACTAAGTAGACATAGGATTGATATTAGGCTTAGTGATTTGACTGGAAGACATATTTAACCTTTTTTTTGGATGAGAAAAATAAAAAGGTGCACACAAAAAAGGGTGTTTTTTCACATAAAATAGCACATTGGGTGCTAAAGATAATTTGAAATTTTTACCAGTGGTGTAAATAATGTAAAAACAGTCCTAAGTTTGTGAATGGGGGAACCTTTCTGTAAGAGAATTATGCTCAGAACTGAGAACTTTACTTACAAAATTTACTTGTGCCTTACTAACTGGAATATACGATTAATTAACAAGTAGCTTTTATTTAATATTCTAGTTTGTTATACAGTATTCAGATATATACATATTTATAAAGACCACACAAAGGGTATGCACATTTCAACATGTAAAGAAAATAGAGGAATAAAACAACAGTATCACTTCTTTTACTTGGCCTTTTTTCGAAAAAAAGATACTTTAATACATACATTGATGCATACAGATTTAATTTGTTCTTAAAATAGTTTTTTCCATGTCAGCAGCTGAGACAAAGTATTATGTATATCTGCAGGTTCTATCAGACCAACAAAATGTTCATTAAAAGTACTGTCTCATATATGCTATTAACAAAATTAATGTTTTAACTGGATGAAATTACTTGCTTGACATGTAGTCAAATAATGAGCATTTTATTTCATGTATCAAAAATAAACTAACCAATTCTTTTCAAGCACATATATTGCTACCTGTCTGTTTTTAGAAAACAAAAATTATATAATAATTAATGGGAATCTAAGAATAAATATGATCTAGGTCTATAAGAGAAATCCTTAATGCTCAAGTTTAAAACTTTGGGGATAATTGAACTAAATCACTTAATATGTTTTTTTCATATATATAAAATCTTCAATTTCAAAGAAGCAGACTCTAGACTATTACCTAAATATATACTGACTAAACTTTCACAATGCCAGAAGTAGCTTCAAGGCATTGTGACAGGTAAATGAAAGTATTTATATACAATCAGTCTATTACATGAAGAGTTTCTTTGTTTGCAATAATATCTTGTCTCTGAGTCAATGAGACCAAATTCAGGGGATTGGGTGGGCTGCATAGGGATGTCACTTTTCTGATATTCAAGTAAGAACAAAAACAAAAGGAACCTAATAAAGATCTTGATCTGTTAACCTAAAAAATTACATCTTGCTGCCAAATGAACTCAACTCTCAATAGTGTTTGGCCAAGAAGATGCAAAGTTTTGGGGTTTGGCTGGACTGTGTTTCTCTTGAACAAAATACTAAAGTGTTCATACTTTAGGAAGGTATTGCACTTAACCACCTTACAGTTTTCTGTGAAATTTTGGATGGTGGTATAGGTTTAATTCCCTCATGGCTTGGAAACTGGTGTAAATTCAGCCATGCTGGTGGGAACATCAAGCTTCAAATATTCAATTTTGAATAGAGAGAGTATTGGAAAGGTATGATTGAGAATCACTCCACCAATCATGTTTTCCAAAACACTACAAATGCACAAATTTTCCCAAATTCTCTAAGTAAGCATATACTAATTGAGAAACTTTACACACCTCTTGCAGCTCGAGTTACATGCAGTAACTCCTCTCCAAAGTTAAGTGCATCTGGATATTTCTTTTCTACAATATCTGCCAAAAACTGCATTAGGGTAGTTTTCTGGTCCTGTGCTTTGGTCCCACTAAGCTAGAAAAATTTCATTATTTAATGTAAATATCAATGAATTATACTTTTTTTAAAAATCTAACATCAACAGATTGTTAATTTAACTGTTAACAGT